TTAAAAAAAAAAATCAAAACATGATCAACAGAAACTCATATTTTTTACCATATCGAATGAAAACAAAATGCCAATCTGGAATGTATGATTGCCTCGCGGGCCTTATTATACCTAAACTAATCAAAAATGTTACAATTTTATGGTAGTGTAATATGGGAACTTTAAAGAAAGTGAATTAAAAGCCTGAAAAATGTCTTTTTCATAAAACTAATTCCTTTAATGGAAAAAGTAATGTCAACTTTTTTTTATATTCTGCAATACAGTAAAACCTCGATCTTGCCAGGTAACATGGGCAACCCTTAACACGGATAACTGAAAACTTGGATAATAATGAGTAATGTAGTTTTTTTAATTTATTTTGTAATCCGACGGAAGCAATGTGTATTTATTACACATCTATCACTTGTTAAAACAAAATTATACACAATATGTAATTTAATTATAAAACAATAAGGAAATGGTCATTCCGCCCATCTGTTATATTGAATTTCGTTTTTCTTTCTGTAAAAATAGGCACAAAAACCCGTAGTGGAAAAACGGCGTCATATCATGGACAATTAGAACAGTGGACAGACTCATATAACTGAAGTTTTACCATACAGGGTGTAACTTGAATGGGTATCATATTTTCACGGAGGCTACCTGTGATTTTTAGAAACACATTTGTTTGTTCTCTCAAATTCCATTGTGAAAGAAACTGTTTTTTAACCTTTTTTTCATAATTTCCATACTCCGCCGTTGACAGGCTAGTGTAACAAACACACGCGTCAATTCCTGACTATTTGATTTAAAAAGTAGTGTTCTGGGGAACACGTACTATTATCCCTAAAAAACTAACCTCCAATTAAAGTTACTCCCTGTACATGTGTCTACTATCCTTAGTTGATTGTTATAAATAAAGCAAGTAACTTTTTAATGTAATTTTCTGTTTCAGAAAATACACAATAAAAGGACATACAATTTATGGATGTAAAAATGTAATTATGATAGGGTTGTTTTCTTTTACTCCATTTAACAAAGTCCCAAAACTTGAAAGTTTGTAGGATCTTCTGAGTCATCATTGCCCCCCCCTTTTGTGTGTCAAGAAAAAACAAAAAACGATGGTGATGGTTTCATAGACTGAAACCCTTGCATACTACCCCTATCCAGGAAAAACCACCCCACTTTCCAGGGTCTAGGGGTGAATAATAATAAATTATATTAATTGACACTAGCATATCCCGGAGTGACCCTCGGAGGTTGAACCACCTACTCCCACCTACAATAGGAAAATATACAAAATATTAAAAATGCTTGGCTAGGTTTGAAGGTTTCCTAGGGTTTTCCGAGGGTGGGTATCACGATGGTGGTGTTATATTTCCCCGCCACCTTCCCAGACCTATTTCCAAAATATTCTCTTCAATGCTTTTGGTCAGATTAAATATCTCGAAAGTACAGTTGACTGAGTGGCGGCTTGTGATATTGAGAATAGGTGAAGCATTGATTGACTAAAAAGAAAAAAAAAATTTTTCAAATTTTCAAGATCAACTGGCTTTAAATGAATCTGGAAATTTTTAGTTGCATTTGTAATATTACCAAAAAACTGACGTTCGTGAGGATTTTCATTTAGATTTTATAAAAAATTGAAATATTAGTTCGGCTTGTGGACTTTTGCGAACATTAACGTACACCGTACATGTATGTTCCAAAGAAGCTTTGTTGTTTATGACAGTTATGACTTTCCCAAAATTGTTAAATCCCCCCTCCCCTATTCCACATGCCTGACTTTACAACCACAATTAAACACGGTATACAGAAAAGTTTTTTTTAAATGAACACTTCCACACAACCACTTATACTCCGAATACCATTCATTCTGAAACTTTCGAACGTACATGTTCGAATAGAATAAGGCAATTTAAAAAATCTTTTTTTGTCATCAATTTTCCATCTGGACAAAGGCGTTTCCAATAAAATACATATTGGATCATACATTAGAAACATTTCAACAATTATTATACAAAACAAGTATTAACTAGGAACAGTTATAATCGTGCACTGGACGACGCGTATCGTATAAACTGTTAAAGGCAGGTGATGGGCGATGCTGCTTCAATTTCTGTGTCATTCGTTCCCCCACCCCGTAGTTTAATCACGTATTGGCCGCCTCGTCATGATAACCGCCATAAACAATGCTACGAAGAGAAGCAGAATACAGACTGATTTCAATCTGCGTCAGTTGTGTATACTATACGTTGTATGGTTCGAGGTTGATCTTCGCACTCAACGAAGGCAATGGTTTTTTAGAAGGCGGTCACCGCGTAACTATTGTGTCTAACAAACACAATACATTTTCAATATAGAATTGTACCTAAATTATAAAATTTATATAAAATTAAAAATAATTTTAAATTACACAACCAAACGGAAATTTTAAGTGAAGCAGTGTGTCACTTGCGTCACCTGACGAGCCGCCACTGAGTTGACCTTAGCAACCTTCAGCGGTTGAAACTGCCCTGCTCGCAATACAGAAGTCACCTGAAAAGTGAGAAAACAAGCTCAGAAAGATCTTTTTAGAGGTTTTCTAGGATGGGTCTCATGATGGTGGCGTTATTTTTCAACATGCCCTCATATAACAACCCCTGATGTACAAAAACACTTTATTCTCCGCGCTATCAGGCCTGGGCATGTTCAATTGGGTTTTTAAAGAAAATATCAACTAAATCACTTACCTGAGGTGAAATAATTTACAAATGGTTCAGAACGGTTTTTGTTCGATTGCTGAATTGATTTTTTGGGAATTTTTTTTTTTTAATTTTAATTTAAAATTATAAATATATATGCACTCTAGAGTTTATAGAAAATGCCATATGTTCATATAAAAATCCCGAATGGGCAGAGATTAGTTCAACCCCGGCGGTATACTAGTATCGATTAATACAATTCACTATTATTCACTATGAAAAAATCCACTCCGACAAACCCCCGCAAGCTAAAGACAAGAAACCCAGAACTTGTAATGGAGTATGCAAGGGTTTCAGTCTACAAAACCATTAATAATTTTTCTCCCCCTTGAAAATGGGGGGGGGGGGATGTTTTTCAAAAGATTCTACAAAGTTTCAAATTTTTGGTATCACATTAAATGGACTATTTGGTAAAACTTCAAATAAAATGTTATTTAAATATTAAATGCTTAGAAAATAAACAAAATTACTTCTTTTGTTTTTCATGTTTTATTGGAATTCCTTAAAACAATAGATGATTAGGTACTGTATAATATGCAAAGGCAGATTGGGGTTTACTCCTCTGTGTTAGAGGTAAAAGGACCCCGCAACTATCCTTGTGGAATGGTACGAAACTTTTTCGAATGATAGTCCCCAATGTGTTAATCAAAAAAGTCCATGGGACCTAGGTCTGAAAAACTACTGTTCTGAAGTTATCGATTCCACTTGCTCGATCACCATCGAGTCCAATGATTTACGGGCGAGTATAAACAAATATTTCTTTATTAAGTGACCATACCTAACCTGTTTCTTGATGTATTTTCGTGTGCTGTGAAGCATGTACTGAAGAACAGCGATAGCAACACATACTGCTTGAGCGACATCTTATGTTTTTATGCATCCTGAACACTTAGTAGTTTTTCAGACCTAGGTCCCATGGACTTTTTGATTAACACATTGAGGACTATCATTCGGCAAAGTTCCGTGCCATTCGACCGGGACCGGTTTTCCAAAAGGATAGTTGCGGGGACCTTTTGGAAACATAGAAATTTTTATTAAACAGGATTCGAGAATTCTGTAATCCTGCAGTATAGATGGCACTACTAGAAATGGTCAATAATCTTGTACCCCTTTCATCGCAACAACTTTATAAGTAATTTCTCTCTCGGAACTGTGCGGGCAACGTAAGAAAAATAGAACACACATAGTGCACTCTCATTCCTACAGTGGTATAGTATGCTGAAACGGTAGCTGTATGAAAGAATTTGGTGTAAATCTACAGTGCATATTTACTTGCAACGAAACGCAATATGCCAGTATTGACAAATCATAGGCTGAAATTGTATGTGTATTAAAATCAATTGTGTATTTGCCTTTACAGCATGATAGAAAGTTAATCCTAATACAGAGCCTTCATAAATGATTACAAGCCATTTAACCAGTAATTTTGTTTGGTGCAGTAATTTTATTTCCTTCACGTTGACAATTAAATTTCGGTAAAATTAAAATAAGATCAAGATTACATTAAAACGCAACATTCATTCATTCATGACATTCTGTTCAACAAATCAGCGATTACATTATCTCAAGTGTAGACACAACGGTTTGTCATTGTTCATTGTAAACGGATTTAATATTGGTGATGCTAAGGTTTACTAATTTTTAGTTGATAGTACCAATCGTGCAATGTTGGGTTGCTAAAGATCAGCGGTCACGTGGCTTGTAATCATTTATGAAGACTGTACTAGTACACACAGCAGTTCCTCTAGAATCTACGTTATCACAAATCGTGTACCTTTTTTTGCATAAAATAACCTAATAAATGACGAAATACGTGTTACATATTTCAATTGAATCTTTTAAAAAGAAAAATGGGAAATGACCCTATTATATTTTAAAATTGGGATGATTTGAAGGATTTAAGTTTCAAGCAAAACATTCCATGTGCTTCAGTATAGTTATGATTACGTTTTGGCATTTTTTTATCAAAGGACACTAGTTTTTAAAAATATCTCATAATATAATTTTTATGTTTACAAACATATTGAATCGTTAAAAAAAAAACATGAAAGTTGCAAATTTGTGGACATTTATGATTAATTACATTCATTTGCTTTCCATCTTTTAATAACTTCATTCTTCTTTTAACAACTAAAAACTGTATTTATTTTATTAGGTAAGCATTGGATCAGTTTAAATAAATAAATTAATTAACATTTGCAGTTGAGTAAAAGTAGAGCAGAATAATTTTGTAGAATGTCGATGCGATATTAACAGCAGCATTTTCTCTTTCCACAGCCGATAAGTACCCCAGATCCAGCGAATCACCATGCACCAAAGCCAGAACCGTCGGAGGTGCATTAACGGTGTCTCCTTCAAGTGACGTATTTCTTATTGGGCTGCAAACTGCTACGAATGTGTGAAGTGCATGTTGGATCACATTTTATGTTTTTTCAAACACATTAAGCTATACATATCGTAAAAATTGGAATATTTACATTTACATCACAACATATTTCCGCCTTGTTTTTGTGACTCATTTCGTAATCCCGATATTTAGTTTAGTAGATTTTATTTGTATGTATTCTTTTTTATAAAAATCAAACTATGTACATAAGCGTTCTGGTTTTAACTTAAATATGATGATGAAAACATTTATTTACAACAAATTGTGATGTGTAGCTTAGGGTTCCCAAATGAGTCACTGTTGTAAAAAGAATATACTTAATTTGTTTTCATCTTTTATTTTGTAAAAATGGTATATTCATGCTTTTTTTGTACCGTCCAATTTCTTTTCGTGTAATTTTGTCTTTGTGCAGAGAGCTAATGTATATCCTGTTTTTTAATAAATAGCATTAAGGGAAATTACCGATGAGAACTTGGACCTGATCGTAGAGTATAATAGGTTTAAACAAAATTGAAGCTATCGTCATAAATAGTTTAATCATGTAAAATCTTTTAGTTTTTAATTAGAAATTTTTAAAATATTAAGTGCATTATTATTTTGAGAGGAAAGTACACCGCGGTATTTTTTACATAAACATTTTCCTAGCTATTGTGAATAATGAAAAAAGTTTTATATTTTAAGATTTCTTGAAACTATGTGTGTATAAAATTGTTTATTTAGGAAATGCTGCAATGTCGAATGAATGATAAATAGCCCAAACATTTTATGTTAAAAATTTTTAGGAAAAATAAACTACAATTCTATATAAAAAATATAATATACTGACAAAAGACTTTTGTTTAAAGCAACCAGTGAGGAAGATCGAAGTGGACTTAAAACAATTTTAAGGTGAAGTGCGGTAATGTTTAATTTCGTATTGTAGAATAAAATAGTGATACTTGTGACTAATTTCAGTGATTTAATTTACAAACTGCTTCGGATTGTCGCATATTTTCGTTTACGAGCCCCTTTTTATTCACAACACGAATATAACATTCCAAATACTTACTAGTACCCAAAATGATTTTGGCAATAATTAAAAAAAAAAAACGGTTACGGTGTACTATTTGCTCAGTATATTTTTATAAAAACAATTTTTAAACAATTTATAAAGGGTAGAAAATGGTTCACCAACTGCGTTTCTAATAAAAAATGTATTGCTTCTCTCTACGACGGTTAAACGAAAATACGCGACGACGGAAATCACAATAGAACAGCATGTGAAAAAAATTGTAGGGGCTATTGGACTTCCACAGAATTTTGAAATAAATATCTTGAAAAATTTATTTAGGTAGCATTTTGTGTTTTGTGTAGGGCATTCAATTCCTCGTTTCAGATTCGAATTAATAAAATGCACACCTTGAGGCTGGTTCATTTAAAACGATCGTGAGTATATTTTTGCAAATCGCAAAAGTAGCATTAATAAGAAATGTTGTTCCTATAAAAACGAAATACTATAAAATCCTAGGTAATTTTTACATAATTTTATTTATTGTTTGTTACACTTATACATTATCATGTGCAAGTTGCAGTTTTACATACCGTTTTAACTAATTTTTTAATTTTATTATTATCTGTAGGATGTAATATGAATTTCATAAAAAATTTGATATTATTTGAACCTCTTCGAGAATTTATCAATTTTCTTGCTAATTTCGTTCTAACGTGAACCAGCCTTTAGCTAGAATTAGATAAGAGTGACACATTTGCGATCAGAGTGATTTGATCATGGATAACTGACATTTTTTTCTTTTAATAAATATAAATAGGAAATTCATTTTGGATATGAAGATGGTTTTGTTCATAGAACTTTTTTTGTTCTTGTACTTGATACGCAAATCAAAGTAACAGCAAATACAGAATTTTGACCGAGATTACTGCTATGAACCAATTCTCTACTGTTGTACAGGGTGGGCCAATTTCTACACTTTTGAGTGGACCGTCAAGCGGATAGACAAAAAGTAGCTAAAATGAGTCAGAATGATGAAAACAACATAATTTTTTGAGATATCGAGTAACTTTTTTCATTTTGTGAAGTTTTTGTTTATCGTACCAGCAAACGCATAACCAATTGAGAACTTGAAATATATTGTCAAATTTTGATTATATCACAGAAATTTAACAGTGAAGATGCACAGATACACGGTATATCACATCACATACCTAGAACAAAAAAAAAAAAGAAAACAAGAATAGGTGAAGCATATTTATTGACTAAAAAGAAAAAAAAGCGCCGCTGGTGAAAATTTTTTAATTTTAAAGGTCAAACGGCTTTAAATGAATTCGGAAATTTTTAGTTGCATTTGCAATATTACCGAAAAACTGACGTTCGTGAGAAGGATTTTCATTTAGATTTTATAAAATATATAAATATTAGTTCGGCTTGTGGACTTCTGCGAACATTAATGCACTGTATATGTATGTTCCAAAGAAGCTTCATCGTTACAACAGTCTCACGTGACGTTCCCAAAATTGTTAAATCCCTCCTTATCCCACACGTCCTACTTTACACCCACAATTAAACAAGGCACACAGAAAAATTTTTTTAAATAAACACTTCCACATAACCACTTATACTCCGAATACCATTCATTCCAAAACTTCCGAACGCACACATTGTCTTTTGACTTCCTCTTTTTCCTATATCGAGAGAATAAGGCACAAGTCTCACGCAATTTAAAAAATCCTTTTTGTTCTCAATTTTCCATCTGGAAAGTGGCGTTTCCAATAAAATACATACTGAATCGTACATGAGAAACATTTCTACAATTATATACAAAACCAATATTAACAAAGAACCGTTATAATCGTGTACTGGGGGATGTGTATCATATAAACTGTTTACAAGGCAAGCAATGGGCGTCGGATGATGACAATGCTGCTTCAATTTCCGCATCACTCGTTCCCCCACACTGCAGTTTACTCCCGTGTTGGCCTCCTCGTTGCCATGACAACCGCTGTAAACAACGCTACAAGAGAAGCGGAATACAGACTGATTTTGATCCGCATCACTACGAAGTTGATGTTCGTGCTCAACGAAGGCAATATTTTTTTAAAAGACGTTCACCGCGCAACTATTCTGTTTATTTCTGCATATTAAACAAACAAACAACAATACATTTTCAATATAAAATTAAAAATAATTTTAAATTGCGCAACCAAACAGAAATTTTAGGTGAAGCGGTGCATTACTTGGCGAGCCGCCTCTGTTTTATTGTTTTTCAAAATATTCTCCATGTGGTTGAAGCAATTTTTGAAGCACTTTTTCCATTCCAGTTGAGGTACCTCCAAAATATGCATTTTGAACGCTTCAACCGCTTCTTCGGGCATTGAAAAGCGTTGGCCTTGTAATTTGTTAATCAAATTAATAAATAACGAGCGTTCAAATAAAAACGTGGTCGAAGTTGGCTCTGACACATTGGACGTAGGGAGTAGCTTATAGCGACCAACTTAACCTCATTTCTCA